CAACACGACTGAAGTATAGACACACTACAGCCTGAATGACCCCCCAAAACATTATAGGAACTGAGAGAAGGCAGTCCGAAAGGCCACATGTCATCTCACTTCCATGAAACGTCCAGAATAGGAAACTCGGCCAAGCTGGGCAGTAGATGAGCCGTCGCCCGGGGCTGAGGATGACTGGCGGTTGACTCGTCAAGGGCGTGTGGGGTTTTGTCTTCAAGTGATGAAAATGTTCTAAAAACGATTATGGTGATGGCTCCACAAGGTGATGAATATACTAAAAAGCATTGAAGTGAGTGAATTTTATGCTATCTAAATTGTATTTCAAATTAAAAAAAAACAAAAACAAAACCTGCCCACAAAACCCAGAGTCCCAGAAAGCGATGACAACTGTGCGCACGCTGGCACAGAAGGTTGAGGTGCTGAGTCTGCGGACATGGGAACTGAGGGGCAGAGAGGCTAACTTGTGACAGGTCCGGGATGTACATGTGTTCAAGGTCAGGCTGAGAGAATGTGGCCCCCTGTGGGTCACTAGCAGGTACAGCCACCCCCGGCTGAGTCGGCACCCCTGCCAGAGTGACCCGGGCTGAAGCTGGCCGGGTGGAAATGTCCGGCTTGGACGTTCGGGTGGCCAGGAGTGCCACTGGCTGTGTGGTGTGCCACACGGACGGCGGGCGGAGAGCTGTCTGAGGGCAGATGACCACAGCCTACTGTGGACACAGAACATCTGAGGACCTAAAAGGGCTTCCAGGCACAGCTTCCACTTTTATTCTTGTAAGATTTGTGCCCCTTGACAACATCACCCCCATTTCCCCCGCCCCCACCCCAGCCACCACCGTCCTAGTCTCAGTCTCTACGAAACGGGCTTTTCTGTCTTAGATTCCACACGTGAGTGATCCAGTTTTTAGGTTTCTCCGTCTGGCTTATTTCACTCGGCAGAATGCCCTGCGGGCTCATCCATGTTGTTGCAAACGGCAGGACTTCCTTCCTTTATTATGGCTGAGTGACACCCGATTGTGTGTGCACACGCCACGTTTTCCTCTTCCGGTCACGCGTGGAGAGACGCTTGGGTTGCTTCCACATCTGCGCTGTTGTGAATAAAGCAGCAGGGCACGTGGGAATGCAGACCTCTCTTCAAAGCACTGATCTCTGTTCCTGCGTATAGGTGACCCGGGGTGGCCTTGCCGGGTCGTGTGAGAGTTCAGTGTTTAAGTTTTAAGGAGCTACAGTACTGTCTTCCATAATGACCGAACCATCTGAAATTCCCGGCAACAGTGTATCAGGGTTTCCTTTTCTCCACATTCTCCCCAACGTTTGTCGTCATCTGTCCCCTCGGTAGTGACCATCCTCCAACCTTCATGAACCAACCTTCATCCGCAGGTGTGAGGTGATCTCTCCTTGGGGTTGGGTTTGCATTTCCCTGAGGACTACTGACGTTGAGCACGTTTCCGGGTACCCGTTGGCCATTGTGTATCTTCCTTGGGAAAAGGTCTCTTCGGGTCCTTCGCCCATTTTTTAATCGGATTGATTTTATGGCTGTTGAGTTGGATGAGTGAGTGCTTTATATATACTTTGGATTTAATTCCTTGTCAGATAGATGGCTTGTGAATATCTTCTCCCATTCTGTAAGTTGCTTTTCCAGTTTATCAATTGTTTCCTTTGCTGTGCAGAAGGAATCTAGTCCCGCTTGTTTTAGCTTTTGTTGAATGTGCTCCGGTGTCTTATCCAAGAAATCATTGCCAAGACCATTGTCAAGGATCTTTTTCCATGTTTCTTCTAGAAGTTTTATTGTTCCAGATTTTATTTAAATCTTTGAATCATTTCTACTTGACTTTTTTAAATTAAATTTAAATTAGTTAACATACAGTATAGAATTGGATTCAAGAATATAATTTAGTGATTTGTCACTGACATGTAAAACCCCGTGCTCGCCCCAGCAAGCGCCCTCCTTAATGTCCGTCACCCATTTAGCCCATCCCCCCACCCATCTCCCCTCCAGCAACCCTCAGTTTGTTCTCTGTATTTAAGAGTCTCTTATGGTCTGCCTCCCTGTTTTTTACCTTATTTTTCCTTCCCCAATGTGCATCCATTGTGTTTCTTAAATTCCCATGAGTGAAATCATATATTTGTCTTTCTCTGACTTATTTTGCTTAACATAATACACTCTAGTTCCATCCACGTTGTTGCAAATGGCAAGATTTCATTCTTTTTGATCGCTGAGTAATATTCCATTATACACACACACACACACACACACACCCCATGTCTTCTTTATCCATTCATCAGTCGATGGACATTTGGGCTCTTCCCATAATTTGGCTATTGTCGATAGTGCAGCTATAAATATTGGGGTGCATCTCCTTTGAATCAGCATTTTTGTAACCTCTGGATAAATATCTAGTAGTGTAATTTCTGGGTCATAGGGTAGTTCTACTTTTAGTTTTTTGAGGAACCTCCATACTGTTTTCCAGAGTGGCTGCCCCAGCTTGCATTCCCGCCAGCAGCGCAGAAGAGATCCTCTTTCTTCACACCCTCGCCAACATCTGCTGTTGCCTGAGTTGTTGGTTTTAGCCATTCTGACAGGTGTGAGGTGGTATCTCAGTGTGGTTTTGATTTGTATTTCCCTGATGATGAGCGATATTGAGCATTTTCTCCTGTGTCTGTTAGCCATCTGGATGTCTTCTTTAGGAAAATGTATATTCATGTCTTCTGCCCATTTCCTCACTGGATTATTTGTTTTTTGGGTGTTGAGTTTGATAAGTTCTTTATAGATTTTAGATACTAACCCTTTATCTGATTTGTCGTTTGCCAATATCTTCTCCCATTCCGTCAGTTACCTTTTAGTTTTGTTGATGGTTTCCTTCGTTGTGCAGAAGCTTTTTATCTTGATGAGGTCCCAATAGTTCATTTTTGCTTTTATTTCCCTTGCCTGCAGAGGAATGCGTAGTAAGAAGCTGCCGTGGCCAAGGTCAAAAAGGTTGTTGCCTGTCTTCTCCTCTAGGATTTTGATGGTTTCCTGCCTCACATTTAGGTCTTTCATCCATTTTGAGTGTCTTTTTGTGTATGGTGTGAGAAAGTGGTCCGGGCTCATTCTTCTTCTTGTCACTGTCCAGTTTTCCCAGCACCACTTGCTGAGGAGACTGTCTTTTTTCCATCGGATATTCTTTCCTGCTTTGTCAAGTATTAGTTGCCCACACGTTTGTAGGTCCATTTCTACTTAACTTTTGTGAGTGGTGTAAGATAGGGATCCAATTTCATTATTTTGCATGTGGAGACCCAGTTTTCCCAGCTTCATTGGTTGAGGAGACCGTTCTTTCCCCCTCCCCCCCCCCCCCCAGTCTGTGTTCCTGGCACCCTTGTCAAAAATGAGTTGACAAAAAAAAAAAAAAATTAGTTGACCACATACGTCTGGGTTTGTGCCTGGGCTCTGTTCTGTTCCACTGGTCTATGTGCCTGTTTTTATGCCAGAACCGTATTGGTTTTACTACTACAACTTTGTAAGAGACCTTCAAAGCCTCCAGCTTTGATCTCCTTTTTCAGAATTGCTCTGGCTATCTGGGGTCTTTTGTATTTCCATACAAATTTTAGAATATTTTTTCTATTTCTGTGAAAAATGCCATGGGGATTTTGATTAGGACTGTATTGTATTATAGATTTTTCTGTAGAAAGAATTTTTCACAATATCCTTCTAATCCAAGAAGACAGGAAGTCTTTCCAGTTACTTCTGTCTTCCTCACGGTCTTCCACCAACTTTGTATATTTTTTAGTGTGCAGGTCTTTTATCTCCTTGTTGAAATTTAGTCCTAAGTATTTTGTTATCTTTGATGCTATCGTAGATAGGACTGCTTTCGTGATTTCTCTTTCAGACAGTTTGTTGGTAATGGGTAGTAATGCAACTAATTTCTCTGTTGATTTTATATCCTGCAATTTTACTGAATTCATTTATTAGTTCTAACAGTTTTTTGGAATCTTTAGGGCTTTCCGTGTATAAGATGATATCACCTACAAACGGAGGCAATTTCACTTCTTCCTTCCCAATTTTTATGCTTTTAATTCTTTTTCTTGCCTAATTGCTATGGCTAGGGCTCTCTGTACTATGTTGAATAGAGATGATGAGAGTTCTTGTTCTTGATCTTAGAGGGAGAAGGTTTTAACCTTTCACTACTCAGTATGATGTTAGCTATGGCTTGTCATATGTGGCCCTTATGCTCAGCAAGATTCCTTCTATACTAATTTGTTGGGAGTTTTTATCATGAGAGGATGTTGAATTTTGTCAAATGCTTTTTCCCCATTTACTGAAATGATCATGTGATTTATCCCTCATTCAGTTTATGTGGTGCGTCACATTTATCGATTTGCCCGTGTTGAACCATCCTTGCATCCTGGGGTGAATCCCACTTGATCATGGTTTATGATCCTTTTAATGTGTTCCTGGAATCCATTTGCTAGTATTTTGTTGAGGATCAAATAAGTAGGATTGAGTGCTGGGTGGTTGTGTTTTTAGGATACAAGCGCATTAATAAACAGGGTGGAAAATAGCTGACACTACAGAAGACAGAATTCTCCAGAAAGGCTGTGCAGAGCATGGGGCAGGGGTCAGCTGGACTCTGCACTGGAAGAGGCAGCTCATCAGTGGTGGGTGGGTGGGTTATAGGATTTGGTGTGGGGGGCCGTGAGTTGGAACTGCTCACATTTAATGGTATGTCGAGTTAGCCGCCCAGAGAAGGGGGGAGGGGCAGACCAAAGGACTTAGGAAGAGTGAGAAGGGCGTTCAGCCAGGATGGAAACATCAGGCATCCTGTCTGAAGCACGGTCACCATGACGGTCGGTCTTTGGGTTCCCCATTATGTGCTCTCCACTGGAAAATGGCGTCCTCCTGCCATCGTTCTCCCTGGCAGTCGAGTCTGTTACCAAAGTTTGCAGAGATGTTCCCAATGACCCCAAAGACAAATCCTAAAAAAAAAAAATTTAAAAGTGATGTGCTTGTCTCTAAATCCCAACAGAAACATGCCTACAAGTCCTGTAAGCCTCTGAGTTCCTGGGTTAACGATCTCATCCAGCGAGTGAATTTCTTCAACACTTGGGCCAAAATGGCTTACACTGCAATACATCATCGGTACGGATGAAAGCGGCTTTATTCTCTTCCTTAATTTTGCGAAGAACTTAACGGTTTACCACGTAGTTTCATATGGTTGGACTTTTGGGTTCTCAGAGCAACATGTGAATCAAGCGGGATTGGGGGGGGGGTACTGTTGTCTTCAGTCTAGGATGGAGACCTGGAGACACAGGATACCCTGGGTCCCGTCCATGGTCCCTCCGCTCAAGGACACACAGGACCAGACCTGGTACATTTCCCTTCCTGTTATTCTACACTCTGTCCTGTGACACCAGCAGAGGGAAGTGCAAAAGGAAGTAAGGGTTAGTTACGTGTAATTTTTAAACGAGTTTAATACATAGATCAAAATCATTTGAAGGGCACGAGAGCAGCTATCGCTCAAGGAGTGCCTGTGTCCCACGTCCTCACGTGACTCTGACAGTAACCCTGCGAGATGCAGTCAGCCCGGTCATTCGTCAGCCTTGTCTTAGATGTGAGTGAGGCACAAGGATGTGAAGTAGCTTGCCCAGCGTTTCACAACTAGGGTAGAAGCCTTGAGATTTGAAGCCAGAAAATCTGGTTCCAAAGTCTGTGCCAAACCGCCTTTTGTGCCACTTACCTCTAAGCAAATGCTAGGACCTATCCTCTCAGAGTCACCAGCTCCGGAACAATCCACAGACTCCTCGGCGCCCAGTCAGGATGCCCAGCACATCCCTCGTTGCCTAAATCCATTGCCTTCCAGCGAGTTAGGGCCTCGCCCTTCAAAGCCACAGCTGGTCTCCCCTGAAGGACGAGACGAGGGTCCCGAGTGGGGTTAAGCCTCATATGAGAAGGGGACGAGGGGCCGTGGAGGGCCTGGCCGCGTGGACGGGCGATGACGGTGCCCGTGACCCCTCGGTCTACGGTCTGCCTCCTACAGGTACATGAGATTTGTCGCCACCGGGAAGCATTCCATTCCATCGTCCGCCCAAAACCCCAGATCCTCTGACAATAAAACCAGTGATTTCTGTGAAGGATTTCCTGCAAGATACTGGCTCCCAGCTTTCTTCTTTCCGCAAGGTGAGTGTGAGAACAGGGCGAGGGCCCCCTCCCAGCCCCCCACGTTCGCGCTCCCTGCCGGCCTCCCTCCTCCTCCCCTTCAGCGTGAAAGACCCAAAGCCACAGCCCTGCATCCCCAGGCACTACGCCCCGGGGGTGGGGAGCCTCTCCTCCCTCCCTCCGCTTCCCTTCCCTTCCTCACCCCACCTCCCCCCTCCCCAGTAGGACCACCCTTGCCTGACTGCACCTGCCCCTGGCAGGAGCGTCACCACCTCCACCGACTCTGATGTCAAAGGCCGACGTGGCCTCCCTCAAAGGCCACCACACTTTATCGGGGCCGCGGGAGGTGGGTGCCCCCCAAGGACAGAATCTGTGCCTCAGCCATTTCTGTTCATTCATTCAACAAAAGCGAACGCCTGGAACCGTGCCGGGTCTCGGGAGCCACTGCTCAGGTCACACGGGAGGGGAAGACGTCCCCACGGAGGGCGTTACGATGCATGGTTGGGTGATGGGGCGTATAAGACACCACGGAGCCCCACGCGGGCAGCCCCCCATCTTTCTACTCCAGGCCGCGCAGCCCCCAGCGCCTTAAACTCCCGATACGTAATCCCAGAACCATTACACGAGTTTCTGAACGAATGTGTGAATGAGTGAACCAGTGAGGGCTTTGGGAGCATAAAGCAGGGGGACCTGAGCGGGGACCAGGAAAGGCTGCTGAGACAGAGAGCCGGCTGCCGGAAGCGGCAGGTGCCGAGCGCACAAGGGGACGGCGGTTAATCCCAGGACCCGTGCTCACCGGGGGCCGGGCGCTGTCGCGAGCTCTCTGTGGAGAGCAGTCCTCACGACAGTCCCGTGGTGGTGTTCACACGGCCCTCCCTGTTCTCAGGAAAACCCTGGCACAGAGAAGGTAAGTAATTTTCCCAAAGTCACACAACTGAGCCGGGATCGGAACTCGGCTCGTGTGACGCAGAAACCCACGTGTTGAAACACAGCATTGACTGGGAATCGCGTTTCTGTTCGGGTCAAAGGCCAGATACGAGGGGGGAGAAGCCCACGTGAAACGTTCAGTGTGGGCAGGGGCAGAGTGAAAGCCCACGAAGGGCGAACGGTGTGGGATGAAGCTGAAAAGGTGGGCAGGGCTGGCTCCTGGTGGGGGCTCCTGGTGGGGGGGGGGATCTGGGCCGCTGCCCCGTCTCAGGCGGGGGGGCCTTGACCTGACTCCGCAACACGGGGGAGGGGCCGGAGCGGAGCCTGGGTCCCAGGCACTTAGGCGTCTGCTTTTCCCCAGGCGAGAATTGGCGGTGGCCTGGAAGGACGACAGAGGAGGGTGGAAGAGAATAGTCGTAGGACGCTGAGGGAGCAGAGAGGGAGGCTCCCCGGTCTTGGGCTCAGAGAGCTGGGTGGCGGCTGACGACCGTTACTGACACAGGGACACGGGGACACAGGGAGAGGAGCAACGTGATGGGCAGAGAGGTGGCCGTCACCTGTCAAGTCTGAGACGTTCGGAGGAGACCGCATGGTGGGCGGTGGGCAGGTGGCTCTAGGGGGCTGGAGCTCAGGAGACACGGGGGCTCGACAGCGTGGCAGTGTCACTGAGCACCTGGGGGACAGGGCCAGGGCGTGCCAGCTACCACCAGAAGCACAAAGAGGTTGGTGGCCCCAGTCTTGTCCCCTGGAGGCCGCGGACCCCCGAGAGGCGCACAGAGGAGGGCCAGGGCAGAGACGGCTTCTCGGGCCTTGGAAAGTTCTGAGGAAATTTGGAGGAAGCGCGTCCCAGGAGGAGGGCAGGAGCGAAGTCACCAGCCGGGTGCCCGCTCAGACATTTCCCGCAACGGCACAGCACGGGAAACACGCCAGTGTGGCGGGGGCCTCAGTGCCCAGGTGACTCGGTGAGCGCTGGTATAGAGACCCCAGCAGGGGCATTACACGATTCAGAAGCAGAGTGAAGCTCCTAACCTGGCAGTTCACGCAGGATGGATTAAGCAAGAGGGGGAACTGGCTGGCAGAACAGTTGGGAGCTGTGTTAGGAATCCTGGTGTTAAGACACAGGACGCAATCCAAACCTGCTTGAGCAGAACAGGGCAAGTCATAGGCTCATGCGAGTGGGAAGGCAGGCCAGAGGTTTGGCTTCAGGAATGGCTGGATCCAGGTGATCGACTGTCCTCTGCCTCCTCATATCTGGGCTGTTTCCACTCTGTCTTGGTCTCCTTTTTCTCAGCTGCACGTAGCCTTTGTCCACACAGCCAAGGGGACACCCAACAGCTTGGCGACCCCAGAGGAAAACGTGCCTTCCTCTTCCCACTCGTCCGTGTGCCGTTTCTCGACCAAGACTCTGACGTGCTCGGGTCTCCTCCTTGCTCCCGGGAGCCGGCTTGTGGCCAGGAGGGAACGCAGAGCCCTGGGTGCCCCTGACTCACAGGGAACTCGTCGCTCTGTGCTTTTCCCCAAAGCTTTTCTCGTGGCCGTGCTTCACGACTACGGACGGTCCCAGGGAATCTCTCTCGGCGCCCTCACGTTTGCCCACCGTGTGATCTCGGACACCGCTGACAGCAGAGACGAGGGGTTCTCCGCGGCCATCCACGGGAACCTCAACACAGTCAGGACGGCCTCTGAGGTACCAGAACGCTGAGGGCACTGGGGAGAGCTGTCGGTCTTCCCCTCGCCAGCCTCCACTCAGCCTCCCCCGTGCCGCGCAGCACACAAGTCCCAAAGCGACGCGCGGACCCTCCGTCTTCCCTTTTCCTTCAAGCAGCTTTTACTTTTTCCTACTTTTGTTCTATGGCAGAATATACATAAGGTAACACTGGACTTGCCATTTTAACTATTTCCTTTTTTAAAGTTTATTTACTTACAGAGAGAGAGAGAGTGCGTGCAAGTGGGGCGGGGCAGAACCCCGGGCGGGGCTCGAGCTCACGAACTGTGAGACGGTGACCCGAGCCGAAGTCCAGAGCTGGACGCTCACCCGACTGAGCCCCCCCAGGCGCCCTCATGCTCACCGTTTCTGAGTGCACAGCCGGGTGGCCCTGAGCACGTCCACGCTGCGGGGCGGCCCTCACGCCCTCCACCTCCGGAACCGAGGCACTGTCCCCGTGGACGTCCACGTCCCGCCCGCCTGTCCTGATCGCATCTATTTTTTGTCCCTATAAATCTGGCGACAGGAGCCTCCTGTAGCGTCTGTCCCTGCGACTGGCCCCTTTCACTCGGCACAGTGTCTCCAGGACTCATCTGTGTGGTGGCCGGTGTCGGGACACAGGAGCGCCCCTCCACGGTTTCCGTGGCTTCAGTGGCCCGTGGTCCCCGGTCGGGATCATACAGTCCCCCTCCTGAGTGTCAGAAGGTCGACAAGAAGGGGGGATGCGGCCGACAAGACATCTTGGGAGGGAGGGAGACCACATTCACGTGGCTTTTATTACGTGGTGTTGTGAGAACTGCTCTATTTTGTTCTTAGTTATTGCCGTCACCCTCTCCCCGTGCCCCGTTTATACACGAGACCACACCGTGGGAGTGTAGGGAGACCCCGGTCCACACAGGGCTCGGTGCGAGCTGCAGCTTCGGGCGTCCGGGGGGCGGGTCTCGGAGGGCAGCTCTCCGTCTCCCCCAGGACCCTCCCCCAGACGGAGCTTCGGTTGAAGGAAGCGCCCTGCCCGGGGACCCACCCACACCGCCTCTCTTTCATCTCAGGGCACAGACCGCACTCACGTCGGAGTTCACGTTTTCGGTTTATTCGTCGAGGGCGCAAGGTGGAATCGGGAACAAAACATACTAGAGGACTCGCTGCCTCGTGAGCTCTGTTATGATTTCCCTGAAATCTACTTCCTGCCAACAAAGGTAATTGCATGTGTTTACCGTGCAGTCGGCCTTGTGGGCCTTCCCGCGGGGACCCGAGCCGTTCCTTCCTGTCCCGTTCCCTGTGGTTTCACGAGGGACATTTGCTGATACGCTTTAGACAACATTAAAAAAAATTTTTTTTTAACGTTTACTGTTGAGAGAGAGTGCGAGCGGGGAAGGGGCAGAGAGAGGGGGGGACACAGACTCCGGGCTGTGAGCTGTCAGCACGGAGCTGGACGCAGGGCTCGAACCCACGAACCGGAGATCATGACCTGAGCCAAAGCTGGATGCTCATTGGACTGAGTCACCCAGGCGCCCCGGTATGTATTTTTAATATGTACTTTTCAGTACTCACTGAATCACACATATAAAGTTAATAAACACAGTACTTATAAATTCTGCCTCAAGAAAGTTCATTTTTTTAAACATCGTTGTTTCAACGTTTATATTTTTTTGAGAGGGAAAGAGGGAGGGAGGGAGAGCGAGCACACGCAGGGGAGGGGCAGAGAGAGAGGAAGACACAGAATCCGAAGCAGGCTCCAGGCTCTGAACTGCCAGTGAAGCCCAGTACGGGGCTCGAACTCACAAACTGTGAGATCGTGACCTGAGCTGAAGTTGGACACTTAACCGCTGAGCCACCCAGATGCCCCTAGATGGCAAACATGTAAAATAGCCTGAGTGGCTCAGTCGGCTGAGCGTCTGACTTTGGCTCAGGTCACGATCTCACGGTTTGTGGGTTCGAGCCCCCGCATCGGGCTCTGTGCTGACAGCTCGGAGCCTAGAGCCTGCTTCGGATTCTGTCTCCCTCTCTCTCTGCCCCTCCTCCACTCACATTCTGACGTCTCTCTCGAAACTAAACATTAAAAATTCTTTAAACATAAAAATAAATACAACAGCCTAGAACATTGCTAAAACCTGGAATAGATGCTCTACCAGCTGCTTCTCCAGACTGTTCCCGAGGCCACGATGGTCACACAGGTCCTCCGGCCACAGAACCCCTAACCAGCCGTGTGTTCAGCGAGCGGCCGTCCCCCAAACCTGGCGCGTGGAAAGTGAGCTCCTGCTTTGCCATCTAACTGTTGGATTTGTTTTTCAGCTTTCCACTGAGCGAGCAGGTGCTTCTGACCAGACAGATACGCAGCGCTACACGTTTGAGTGCCCGGTGTATCAGACGCCTGAGAGGTCAAGAACTGTGACAACCACTGGCTTGCCTGCAGACTTCCTGACCTCCGTGCACTTACCCACGAAGAGACCCCCCAGTCACTGGGTCACAACACGGGTTGCCTTGCTGTGTGAGAAAAAGGAGAAATAAACGTGTGCACCACCCCACCTACTTTTTGTCCCTGAGCGGATTTGCGACTCGGCACCCACCACAAAAACACCGCGTGTTCAGCCAGACCGGACAGGTGCGGCCTTCTTCCCTCTGTACCTGCAGCGGGGGTCTTCCGGCTGCCCCGTCCCAGGTGAGTGAGTGCCTGGGGGCGTCCCAGGTACAGCAGGTGGGACTTGGCCGGGCGCCGTGGTTTCCACCCGGAAGACGGCAGGGCGTGTCATCTGCGGTCACGTACGACGCAACACACGCGAGGGGGTCCTCGGGAGCACTTCTCCCCGGCCCCACGCAGGCTGCTTCCCTTGATGAGACGTGGTCTTGTGGCTCCACCAGACCTCCTCCCACTGAGAAGGTACCTGGGCTCACCTCACCGACACAGGCCTCCCACGTACTAGGTGCTTCCGTGGCCCCGACAAACTCCCGTGAGAGTGTGACGGGGTCTGAATGGCGCGGCCGTTTCTCTCTTCGCAAACAACCAGCACTAAACGCACGGCCACGAGCCGGGAGCTGGGGCCCCCAACTAACCCCTCCCCTCTCCAACCTCCTGAGAGCCACGATGCAGGCAGGGCGGGCGGTGGTCACCTATGGGCTCCCGTGTCGGCCCCAATGATCCCAGAGTCACAGGCACAAGGAAGAGGCTCTGAGGCGCAAAGGCCAACATCTTTTTTATTTTCAACTTTATTTCCAACTTCAAACTTCATTATAAAACTTGTCAAACAAACATGTCAAAAACAACTAAAAACAAATCATAGCTGATATCCAGAAACTGCAGCACTATGTTGGTAAAGGCTCTTTTCACATTACCAGAGAAAGAACTAGACCTCCTCCTTCCTCCCCCAAAGCTTCGTTGGTGACTCGAGGACACGATGGGACACTCTTTCCGGCGCAGGAGAAAAGCAGAAGAAAAGCTGCTTGCTTCCATCAGCGTGGAAGACACGAAGACCACGGGGTGCGGGCGAGGGTGCCAGAGGCCGCCAGCGTCACCATCACGTTCACGGAGCAAAGTCACACACGGCGCCCACGGCAACGCAGGACAACACCGCGGACCCGTGTCTCGTCTACAAGATGCATCGACGCCCCAGACGCTCCGTTCGATCCCCCACAGTTAAGATCCCGAGAACAATTTAAATACAATCTTTTAGTGAATCTGCTACTGGTCCGTTACAGGACAATTAATTAGGAGACTACATCGACTAGAACTTCACAGCTACGGCGGCCCCGCGCACCTCCGTTAAACAAAAGTAAAACTAAAACGGACCAATGACTAAACAAAATAGACTCTTCCCTTCAATTATCTGTAGATCGACAGGCTTCTAAAGAGGAGCGCCGCCCCCCGTCACGGGGAGGAGCGTTGGTGAAGACAAGGGACGTACGAGCTACAGTATAAACAGCGTGGCCTCACCCGTAGCAAAATCACGGTTTTATCTTAAAAAAGTCAAAAACGTACAAAAATATTAGCCCGAAATGGCAAGTTTTCAAAAACCAATCTGTGTAAAAATGTTTAAATAGTGCTGTGACTCCAAAAATATATATTCTATTTTTTTTTCTATCTGCAACAGTTTATAAAGGCAAAACACACCTGCGCGTGAGGTAGCAAAGCCAAATCCGCCAGCTTTGGGTTAAGGAAAACACCCCTCCTGGGTCTTACCAGCCTCTTTTAGACAACGTCAAGTGAATTCTAATGGTTTCACAATTTTTAATCGACAGGTATGACTTTATAAAATTTAATTTAAAATACTGCAAACGTTTTCGTTAAAAAGATCTTAGTCCTAACGCTTATTTCACATTCAAAATACTGTACAGAAAGACCTGCAGTCCCCATATATTACATAAAATCTGTGTACTTACACTTTCCGGCGCAGTTCCAGAAGCGGAGGGTAAGCGAACTGCTGAGGGTCTCCCTTCATCTGCCCCTGCGAACGGCCCCGTCCCCGCTCACGGCAGCGGACACGGGACCCGAGTCCTCTTTCAAACCCCGTCGCCCACGAATGATTTACTTCAAAAGCAAGCGGACGCGAGTTCTCTTCACGAGACGTGGACGAGGCTCCACGGGGCGGCTGGTGTCACTTAGGAAACACGAGGACAGAACGAAACAGTCACAGCTGGAAAGTCCTGGAGACCCACAGACGTCACCGGGATTGTCTCAGTGCATCTTCAAGGACGGCCCGTCTCCCGGCACAAAGCAAATCCCAACGATCCCCCTTGTCCTCCGTCCGGCGTCAGGACCAAGTGGCCGCGGGCGTGGCTGCGTTAAAAGACCACCGGGCCCCCCGGTCCGGACTCAGAAAGAAAAGCAGGACCCCGTCGGTGCGATGGATGAAGATTCGCTCCGGAGCCTTCTCTTGGTCTCCCGGGGAAGCCGCGGGGCAGGCGCGTGGGCGGCTAGTACACGCGGGGCAGGATACGGTAGGGCACCCGCCGGCAGTACCGCTCCCAAGCCAGGCCGTACCGCCTGCGGCAGTGGCGCTCGTCGCGGGCCTCCCGGTGCACCAGCAGCACGGTGAAGTAGGCGACGTAGAAGTACGGCAGAGCGTGACCGAAACCTGGGTCACGGCACAAGCGTCAGTGACGTTTCCGATCCCTACGCGACACTCCCCCCAGCGCCCCCCCCACACC